AAATAAAATGAAAATTCAAATTTTATAATCTTGAGATCCAGTGAACATATTCTAATGAATTATATACTATTAGATTGGTCTCAGTGAGAGGATTCTAATGGTAGTGAAATCATTGCCATCAGATCCATATTGGGGAAGTCATTGCATTTTAAAATTTTGTACTAAATTAAATAGTAATAATATTATTAGTATTAATAATTACAAATATTAATTTGGCCATAACTTTTGTATTACCTAAAATTATGTTGTGTTACTTCAGCCATTAATTTAAGACATTAATCTATAACTTATAAAAGTTTCAAGTTTCGCCCAAACTTCTGTGACTTCGCCTGAAGCTTCAATATCTAATTAGAAGATGATCGGCATTTATTAATTAATTGAAAAATTTGGCCTAAAGCTAACTTTAGCATTACATTTTATTTTAGCACAAAATTTTTATATTAAACTGTTAATACTTTAAACTATTAAATAAAATAATTTAATGTGATTTTTTTACACATTTATGGTTTGAAATAATGCTTCAAAGTTAATGTGATATCATATATATTATGATCGGCAAATGATCAGCATGTGATAATAAGCATGTTTGTTATGCTATACTACTTTGCATTACATCCTGGTGATATGTGTTCTGCCTCAGCAATTAAAAAACTACCTCACCAACACTGGCAATTTTTGCACAGATGTCATATATCACATAATTATAATTACGTGATTTTGATATTTGCTTTACCTTTTATGGTTAATCTGTATTGAACGATGGTTTTATTTTAATATTTTTGTACTACAACTTTTGGAATGATCTTACCACACCACCTCGAAAAGATGTGATGCCTAACCGTCACCATATACGTGACATCCGCACTTGCGTTATTTATATTTATCTCAGCGACTTAGAAATTTTTTGTAATCTGATCTCTATTTGTCACCTGCATAATAGTATGTCACCTGTGTTACTATAAACATATAGTTGAGGGTAGTGTGGTAAGATGATCCCAACTTTAATCTCCATTTTTCACGTCTCCTTACGTCTTTATTAGATATATAAGTTTTAAATAAAAAACTTTTTTATTATAAAACTCATTAAATTTTCATTTAACACTTGTATTTTGTCAGTTTATACATATTTACCTTGACTTTAGAAATGTTTTTCTTTAATAAATTACAATTTACAATCACTGAACGTGAACAGATAGACAAAAAAATTCGCATGTAAGTTTCTTTGTTTTTATACTATAGTGCTTATAATTTTTTTTCTTGCTTTTTTAATTATAAAATGGTCTTTGATTTATTGGAATTAAATGTTATATAGACTTATTATTTAATACAGTTTATCTTTTAACAGGATTAACTGTTACAGCATTACAAAATAGATACTATATGAATGAAGTCAAAATTGTACCTATTTCTAAATCAGTATCGTCATTATCAATCATCTTTTCATTACCTTGATCATCTTTAACCACTAATACGAATTTTTGTGGAATTCGAATATTCTCATATCATTTTTTCATTTCTGATAACATCTCTTGTTGATCTATAAAAATTATTAATTATCATACATGTCAATCAGCAATTTTTCAAAATTCAATTACCTTTAGGAATATTTAGTGGTTCAATTTCTATAACCTTATCGTCAGACTCTTCTTGAGTCAGCTTAGTCAACTTTGCAGATTTGAGGATCGACTTGATGGGTGCCAATTTGCTAGTCAACTTATTGGTCTTGTCACTTGTCTCATTTGGATCACTTTCTTCTTTTATTTTTTTCCGTTGACGATTAGATCTTTCGCTCAGTGTTTCTTCTTAAAACCTTTGCTGCTTTTATTTGTTTGACTTGATGGGTGCTGATTTGTTTTGTCTCCAATAGCCAGATTCCTTTGTAATATGTTTAAACATAACCTGAAGAATCGATTTTATTTATTGTCCTTCGCTATTAAATTTTTTGTGGCCTAGTCAACTTATTGGTTTTGTCACTCGTCTCATTCAGATCACTTTTTTCTTCCATTTTTTCCCATTGACGCTTAGATCCTTCACTTGGTATTTCTTCTTGAAACCTTTGCTGCTTTTGTTTATTTGATGATGATTTGCTAGTTGACTTATTGGTCTTGTCACTCATCTTATTCAAATTACTTTCTTCTTCTATTCTTTCCTGTTGACGATTAGATTCTTCGCTCAGTGTTTCTTTTTGAAACCTTTGCTGCTTTTATTTATTTGAATTAGTAGGTGACGATTTGCTAGTCGACTTATTGGTCTTATCACTCGTCTCATTTGGGTTACTTTCTTCTTCCATTCTTCCCTGTTGACAATTAGATCCTTCATCCAGTATTTCTTCTTGAAACCTCTGTTGCTTTTATTTGTTATTTTTTTTATTATTTTTTTTATTATTGCTATTATTTGTCATTTTGATATTCACTCAATATTCGTTTTAAAAAATTGAAGCGGGTTCAATATTGTCATATCATCCTATTTATAAATTTAAAAAATCAAATCAATTAATAATAAGAAAATCATTAGCATCCTACTGTGTTGATTTCTCAATTGACAAATCAACTATAAATCATAATTAAAAAAAACAAATCAATTAATAATAAGAAAATCGTTAGTGTTTTACTGCGTTGATTTCTCAATTGAAAAATCAACTATAAATCATAAAGTAGGACAAACTTGGGGGTTCTGGGACAGCAGCTATCACATAGGTCTAACTATAATTTAGTGTACCTCAGACCACCTAGCCTTGATTTCTAATATGATAACACTATACCTGTTTTTCTATCCCCAGACCATCTAACTTTGATTCCCAATATGTTATTACTTGATAGCTAAAAAGAACTCCCCAAGCGTTGTAGATAAGATTAAAATCATATATTCCTAGGCATTAATGCCACGCATAGATCCATTCCAGGGTATCATAATTTTATGCTATATCAGATTGCCTTTATAAGTGCCAAAGGTATGAAGGACACAAAGTGTCTGTAATATCGATGGCACAATTCAGCAATCCATTGTGGCATACTATTTTTATGATACTCTAAAATGGATTCATTCGATGATTTAAGCCATTCATGCTCTAACCAAAAATTTTTAACAGGAAAGCAACTAGACATATTGTAAAGCTTTTCCTCCTATACAAAAAAATCTGGGACAGTAAAGTCTAACCAAAAATCCAACCCAGGTCTAACCAAAAAATGTATAGCAGGAAGGCAACTAGACATATTGTAAAGCTTTTTCTGCAATACGAAAAAATCTGGGACAACAGGTCTAACCAAAAGTCTAACCAAAAATCCGACCGAGGTCTAACCAAAAAAATATA